AAAGGGAGGCAGACTATGTTTAGGGAACCTTTTCTTGCCCCTCCCTCTTTTTGGGGTGAGCAGAGTGGATCCTAAATAGGGCTGCTCAGTCATGGATACAGCTGTCGAGCTGCTCAACTGCCTCATTCCTTGAATCATAGCAAATGAATCTGTATCCACTGCCCATGTGCAGGTTCATGACTAGAGGCTTCTAGATTTCACTGTCCTGCCGCCATTACCATTTGCAGATAGCCATGGGACTTTTTTGGGTTTGGGTTTGGCATGTATGTGAATTTGTTTTATCTTTGTAGATCAGTATGTGCTGACCATGATACAGTCTTTGCAGTAAGGCTCTATTCTGATGGCATGAGTATCACAACGAATGGTAGATTCTTATCTGCTGCAACCTTCATCCGCCTTCACAGCCATTGTAACATGCCACTTGTTATCTTCTGCCTGTTCTGCTGTTGAGGACTTCTTGGATCATTCTTTGTCCAGCTAGTTCCCATTGACGTTACTGCCTTGGGTGACCCTGCTGGGAGTACAAGACTCCTGACAGCTTCACTCACAAGGGTCATAATAATAATAATAATAAATAATAAATTTTATTTATACCCCGCCCTCCCCAGCGAAGACCGGGCTCAGGGCAGCTAACAACCAATAATAAAAACAAGTTGATTGAAATACAACTTAAAATACAAGATTAAAATACAACATTAAAACGTTAAAATGTTAAAATGCAGCCTCATCTCAGGAGGAGAAAGGAAAAAAGAAAGAGGGGGAGGGAATCAAACTGATTCTAAGCCAAAGGCCAGGCGGAACAACTCTGTCTTACAGACTCTGCAGAAAGAAATCAGATCCAGCAGGGCCCTGGTCTCATGAGACAGAGCGTTCCACCAGGCCGGAGCCAGTGTTGAAAAGGCCCTGGCTCTGGTTGAGGCTAATCTAACTTCCTTAGGGCCCGGGACCTCTAGGGTGTTGCTATTTATGTACCTTAAGGTCCTCCGTGGGGCATACTGGGAGAGGCAGTCCCGTAGGTACAAGGGTCCTGGGCCGTGAAGGGCTTTAAAGGTCAAAACCAGCACCTTAAATCTGACCCTGTACTCCACCGGGAGCCAGTGCAGCTGGAAAAGCACTGGGTGAATATGCTCCCATGGCAGAGACCCCGTGTTGAGCCTCGCTGCAGCATTCTGCACCTGCTGGAGTTTCTGGGACAGCTTCAAGGGCAGCTCCGCGTAGAGCGAATTACAGTAGTCAAGCCTGGAGGTGACCGTCGCATGGATCACTGTGGCCAGGTCAGGGTGGGAAAGGTAAGGGACCAACTGCTTGATGCGGCGAAGGTGGAAAAATGTTGCCTTGGCTGTTGCTGTAACCTGTGCCTCCATGGAAAGGGAGCCCACTCACAACGACAAAGTGATGATCCAGTGAGTGAGAGTATGAAATTATCACATGCTAGGCAAGATCTGAAAGCCCCCAGAATTAGGACTTGTGTTTGTGGACTACAGAAGATTTAAGTCATGTAAAAAGCAACGGATCAGGCAGATCAAATATCTCAAAGACTGCCTCTTCCCCTACAGACCTTCTTGGGTGCTGAGATTGCCAGAGGGAGCCCACTTGGTAGTTCCTTCACCCACAGAAACTTGGGAGTGACCTTCTCTGTGGTAGCCATTGAGTTGTAGAACTCCTTTTCCACATAGAGTACCTGTCACTATCATTATTCAGATTCTGGCGAATGCTCGCTAGGCTTTTGACACCTGGGATGTGTATTTCTAGGAACTACTTATTTATGTGAATGTAAATTGGGTGTATGGGATGTTAGGGGAGGGTAGTACCTCTGGTGGGGGACACATTGTGCTCCTTCTGGGGTAGTTTGTCCACCTTTGGTCCCCACCCTGCACTCAGCTCTCACCTGTAGCTCCTAGAAGCTGTCAGTATTCAACAGCAGCCACACCCTGGGAAAAGGCTTCAAGTGGTCAGTTAAACCAGGTAAGGGTAACTGATGGGTCTCAAACCCTTGGTGAGTTAGGGACTTCCCCTGCTTGGGAAAATAGGCTATAGTGGATTGAGCGGAAATGAATAATAGTGGGTCCAATGGTCAAGAAGGCAGTTCCTGCACATGCTGTAGAGGGAAGTGTGAGGTAGATTGGACTCAACAATCTGGGAAGGATATCCATCTAGGGGAAGGAAAACTTTGATCCTAAACCTCTGCTGCCTTGCAGGATATCTTTGGGAGAAATAATGGCTTAGGAATAAACCCTACACAAACCTGGAGTGAAGTGCCTAAGACGGTTGGATGGCACCTTGCAGGCCTACTTCTGGCAACCTCTGCAGCCAAGGTGGTTCTAAATGTGTTGCTCTGCTTTCCTTTGGGGCAGATCAGTGAGGCTGAGAGGGAGGTCTTGTCATATGGGCAACCCAGGACCTCCATACACACTGCCATGGCTTGCATACAGGGGAGGTCACTTTGGTGCTGCTAACACAGCGGCTTGACTTCACCCCCAGAGGGGCACTCCATTGTCTCTTGAAACAGGCAGATGCCAACCAACCTACCATATTGTCTTAAAACGTTTTTGATATTATCTAATACTGTGCTTTAAAATTAATGTTTTGATTTAATTATTGTCACCCCACCTGGGATGTTAGGGTGAGGTGATAGAGTGTAACGAAAACCACAACAACTCCTACCTAGTAACCAGGTGAGAAAAGTGAGGAAAAAGCCCACCCATTTGCTGTGTGGCCCTCAGCAACTTCTTGGGTTCTGCTGAAATGTAATACAGTGGTACCTTGGGTTACATACGCTTCAGGTTACATACGCTTCAGGTTACAGACTCTGCTAACCCAGAAATAGTGCTTCAGGTTAAGAACTTTGCTTCAGGATGAGAACAGAAATCGTGCTCCGGCGGCGCGGTGGCAGCAGGAGGCCCCATTAGCTAAAGTGGCGCTTCAGGTTAAGAACAGTTTCAGGTTAAGTACGGACCTCCGGAACAAATTAAGTACTTAACCCGAGGTACCACTGTACTTGGAGAAAAGGAAAGCAGGACTATTCCATCAATGCCACTGAGACACTAGTTGCCTTTGTGTCCCCTCATCTGTCCTATATCACTAATTCCATCAGGCTCCCTTAATGTTTCCTTTCCAGCTGCTTATTTGTATAAGCGTTATTTTAAAAACTGGCACCTGAGTTTCCTCTTTTCCTCCTCCCTCCCCACCCCCTTTTCCTTGGATACCATGTCTGTTAAATGATCCTCCACCTCTGTGGCTCTTGCTGCTTCTGTTCCCAACCAGAATGTCAGTTATGTTCACAGTGTGGCCTTTTTACTTTTGGTGCAGGGGGCTAGTGAGAATCTTTAATTGGCTGCATAGTTTCTCATGGACATGAGCCAGAGGGGTTTGGGCCCCAGAAACATGAGGCTCCAGAAGAAGAACTGCATGTTCGCCTCATTGCTGCAGCTCGCTCAGATCTGAACCAAGAATGTCAAGGCCAAACTAACATATCAGGATGACTCGTTTTTGTCTGCTCAGCTTCTTGTAATGTCCTTTTCATGGAAGCCTATCTTGAAAGTTGTATATCAAACTGCAGACATTCTAGCCAAAGCATCCCCAAGCAGCTTGGATTTTGCAAAGGGCAATGATTTATATGAGTTGAGAGGGAGCAAGCAGGAACTGGGTAGATCTTTGACAGAAGTGAAAAGGGGGGAAGGCAAAGCAAGAGATGGATCTTGTAACGCAATAGCCTAATCCCCCTTGGCTTGCTTGGTGTCTTAGTCTTCTGCAGTGGTTTTGCCATATGCTTCTCAAGAGCATTAGTTCCCTCCACCTGGCCTTTCAAGGGGGCGAAAATGGACATCTGTTTGGACAAGGCTGCAGCTAGACTGGACCACAGCCCTGGGAGCCCCCAAATGACCTGCCAGAGAGTGGCAGGTGATGGAGGCAGACCTATACAGGCCACATGTCACCACGGCACCTATGCATGATGTTGTGGGTTTGTGGGGTCAGTCTGGATGACACCCTGAATTCCTTCCACTTGCAAGAGTTAGGTGATGGTGCTCTCCAGGCTAATGGGGAGGCCTTTCTGCCACCCGCCTCACCTCCAAGTCAACAAGAGCCAGAGTAGTGCAGGAGGCAGAGAGCACAGCCCCCAAATCAGAAATAAGTTACTTTAGTCTTTTCAGTGCTCACTCTGTTCTGAAGACAGGGTCTGGATATGAGAATTACCATATTTTTCGCTCCATAGGGTGCACCGGACAATAGGGCGCACCTAGTTTTTAGGGGGGGGGGGAATCAAGAAAAAAAAACTTATTTCCCCCCCAGCCCCAAAGAGCAGCGTACAGGCTGCCCAACCTCTCCCTGCCGGAGGGGTTGCGCAGGGCTATGGCACAAGCCAAGGCAGCGAGCAGGATCCATCCTGCTGGCTGTTTTGGTTTCCTCTTTAGCCCCGCGCAACCTCTCCTGGGGTGCAGCCTCTCCCTGCCGGAGGGTTACGCGCGGCTATGGCACAAGCCAAGGCAGGGAGCGGGATGGATCCCGCTCGCTGTTTTGGCTTCCTCTTTAGCCCTGCGCAAGCTCTCCATGCCGGGAGAGGCTGTGCAGGGCTAAAGAAGCCATAGCCCTGTGCAGCCTCTCCCTGCCGGAGGGGCTGCACGCGGCTATCCCTGAAGAGCGAGCGGGGTCGGTGCACCTCTCGCTCTCCAGGCTTTAGCGAAAGCAACGTGAAGCCTCCGGAGCACGGAGGGAGTGCTCCCTCTGCGCTTCGGAGGCTTTGCGTTGCTATTGCTGAAGCCAAGGAGCCTGCATTCGCTCCATAGGACACACACACATTTCCCCTCAAGTTTTGGAGGGGAAAAAGTGCGTCCTAAAGAGCGAAAAATACGGTATATACTGTCACCTGAACCGATCCCCTTCGTGGGAGAGCAGCCCCCATATAAAATGGAGGCCCATCACTCTTGAGCGTGTCCCCACAGGAAGGGCATGTGCTTGAGCATTGCCGTCTGTGTACAGAACCCACATGGAAGTGCTGCGTTAAAGGCTTGAGTCCAGACTCATTTGTGAAAGGTACTACACTTGATCTTAGCCAAAAGGCCAAGAAGCTGTTTGTGGAAGGGACCCTGATGCAGCAGAGGCTCCCAGTGGGAGAGGCATGACCTTCCACAATCCCTGCAGCCCCACCAACGCCCTCCCCACACTGCCGCAAAGGGGCCCTGTCCTCCTACAACAAAGAGGTGCTGAATCCCAAGTACATATGTTCAGCACCAGGGCAGAGGAAGCAAACTCCATGCTATTTCTGTGGTCATAATGGTACTGCGGTTTAAGAGAGTCTTTAATACGCAAAGCTGTGTGTGCTAGGACTGTTTTTCTCTTGGGATTGACAGGTTTTTGGTCCCCTGCCTCCCATTTTGCTCCAGCAGGTCCGTGATGCAGAAGCAGCAGGAAGGGTGGTTGGGGGGGAGAGAAAGGAGAATTCTCTGCTTCACCACTGAAGTGATATACAGGGTTGTCTGAAGGAGGCTCCTGTAAAAAGACAAAGTCCGGTGTCTGAAACAAATTCATCCACAGTCTGGAGAACCCACAGTCATTAGCACAACTTCTTTTTGAAAGAAGACCATTAGTAAGCAAGGATGACATTTGTTCTTCTTGGAAGCACTCTTAAACTTGCAAAGGCGGCTTCGCCAATATGGTGCCTTCCAGGTGGTTGAGGCTAAATGATGGGAATTGTAGTCGAAAACATCTGAAAGGCACCAGGTTGCAAAGGCCATTTCAGAACAGCAGTGTGAGGTGGCATCTATTTATGACTTATGAATTTTTTTTGAAATGGTGTTTCAACCACTGGTTAACAGGAGTGATGAGCAAAGTTAGGACAGCCTTGCTTGCTTGCTTAATAGTATTCCTGAACTGCTTAATATTTCAAAAAATTATCTCCTGGTGCACAACGTGTACAATATAAAAAAGCTATGCCCCTTAAAACAGAAAAAAAACCCCCAACCTTGTGTTTCCCAAGAGCCTCTGACGCTCTGAGGAACTAGCCCTGATAACAAAACCTAAACAAACGTTACTACGGGGCAAGGAGGTCTTGGTTTGTCCTTCAGTTCTGCAACAGATAATCCACTCAGTGATTCTGCCTCAACCCCTGGGAAGAAAGGCTCCAGCATTTGGGACCTTTTAGTTTAGAGAAAAGGAGAGTAACAGGTGACATGATATAAGTTTATACTATTGTGCATGTCGGGACACGGGTGGTGCTGTGGGTTAAACCACAGAGCCTAGGACTTGCTGATCAGAAGGTCGGCGGTTCGAATCCCCGTGACGGGGTGAGCTCCTGTTGCTCGGTCCCAGCTCCTGCCAACCTAGCAGTTCGAAAGCACGTCAAAGTGCAAGTAGATAAATAGGTATCGCTCTGGCGGGAAGGTAAACGGCGTTTCCGTGCGCTGCTCTGGTTCACCAGAAGCGGCTTAGTCATGCTGGCCACATGACCTGGAAGCTGTATGCTGGCTCCCTCGGCCAATAAAGTGAGATGAGTGCTGCAACCCCAGAGTTGATCACGACTGGACCTAATGGTCAGGGGTCCCTTTACCTTTATTGTGGATGTCTGGAGAAAGTGAAGAGAGAAAGGTTTCTCTCTACCACGCCTGTGCTTGTGCAGATCCAGTGAAGCTGAATGTGGGGAGACATGATGAAACACACAGTTAGACTATGGAACTCACTCCCACAGGAGGCAGCGATGGCCACTAACCTAGATACTTTTAAAAGGGCATTACACAAATTCATGGAGCTATTGATGACTCTTAGCCTTGATGGTTATGTTCTGCCTTCACACCTGGAGGCAACGACGCTTCTGAATCCCAGTGGCTCTTGTACTCCCATCGTGCTTGGTGGCTTCCCATGGGGACATCTGTTCGGCCACTGTGAGACCGGGATGCTAGGCAGGGGGGACATGTTGTGATCCAGCAGGCTCTTCTTATGTTCTCATGTGCTGCTGTCAAATACATGTACCGTATTTTTCGCCCTATAGGACGCACTTTTTCCCCTCCAAAAATGAAGGGGAAGTGTGTGTGTGTCCTATGGGGCGAATACAGGCTTTCGCTGAAGTGCGTCCTATAGGTGCGCACCGACCCCTCTCGCTCTCCAGGCTTCAGGAAGCTCTGCGCAACCCTCCGGAACCCGGCACCAAGCCGCGCCAGGCTCGGGAGGGTTGCGGAGAGCTGCCTGCCCTCCCAGGCTCTGCGCAGCTCTGCGCAACCCTCCGGAGCCCCGCGCCAAGCCGCGCCGGGCTTGGGAGGGTTGCGGAGAGCTGCCTGCCCTCCCAGGCTCCGCGCAGCTCTGCGCAACCCTCCGGAGCCCGGCGCCAAGCCGCGCCGGGCTTGGGAGGGTTGCGGAGAGCTGCCTGTCCTCCCAGGCTCCGCGCAGCTCTGCGCAACCCTCCGGAGCCCGGCAGGAAGCCGCGCCGGGCTCCCAAAGGTTGTGCAGAGCTGCCTGCATTCTGAAGCCTCAGGCGCGCTGAAGAGCCAGTGTGGCTCCCTAGGCTTGCGGATAGCAGGCTGTTCTTGGGGCTGGTGTCGGGGGAAGCTCGGGCTTCCCCCGCGCCAGCCCCGTGCCTGGGGGGGAAATAATTTTTTTTTCTTTATTTCCCCCCCCCAAAAAAACTAGGTGCGTCCTATAGGGCGGTGCGTCCTATGGGGCGAAAAATTCGGTAGTTATTTATTTCAGAAAAATTCCATACCGCTTAACTGTAGATCAGAGCAGTGATCTACAGTTGACTCCCCATGCTCTTGCAGAGTGGAGCATGGAAGGAATATTTTATTCTGCTTGGGTGCCTAAGGGCCCCGTTCCTGCCACTCACCCCCTGGTCCAGGGCAGGGCCTGACAGGCCTCAAAGGACGGTTGCCGCAGCTGCTGTTGCTGCCCAGGAGGACTCAGAGCAGTACAGAGTTCTTTTAAAAATGTTTTTAAATTTTATTTTTCCCTTTTAATTCTTTTTTGTGGGGGGTGGGGTGGGATGGATGTTTAGTTGGGTTCAGGAATTTGTTTAATTTTGGTGTGTTTGTAATTTTCACTGTTTTTGGATTGTATTGTTTTATTGTGTTTTGTGTTTTTTTAAAAAAGGTTTTATTTTGTTCTTAAGGAGAGGAGTCAGGGCTGCCTGGGAGTGGGTTCCAGCCAACAGAATGGGTGGGGCAGGTTCCACGGGGGGGAAGCACTGGGACAACCGATCTCAGTGATCACGGGTAGGAGGAGGAGTTACGCTAAGAGCAGATCATGTCATTACGGAGGAGGCAGGTTTAGTCGTTGTTTGAGGGTCTGGTCCTGACTTGATGGATACTGGAATCAGCAAGGGATACCCACATGACCTGAAGGTGCTGCTGTGCAATGCCAGGTTGATGATTCATGACCACTGCCATCCATGACTTGATCATGGATGGAGGACTTGACCTGGCATGTGTAACAGAGACTCGGTTGGATGAAGCAGATGGGCCTGTTCTTGCCGCTGCTTGCCCACCAGGTTTCTCTTATGCACAGCAACCCAGGCCTTCTGGGCAGGGAGTGGGGGTTGCAGTGATTTTTAGGAAGTCAGTAGTTTGCACCAGGCTCCTATTGGGAAGACCCAGTTCTCTGAGTGCATGTTCTGGAAGTTGGGCAATAGGGGCAGTACAGGATTCCTTTTGGTGTACTGACCTCCCCGCTGCACCAAGGATTCCCTGTCCGAGCTGCTTCAGGTCGTGGCGGATGTTCTCCTGGAGAAACGTAGTTTGGTTGTCCTAGGGAATTTTAACATCCATGCCGACACGACCTTACAAGGGGCCGCTCGGGACTTCATGGAAAGCATGGCCTCCATGGGGCTATCCCTGAATAAGTCTGGCCCAACCCATAGCCACGGACATGCCTTGGACCTGGTGTTCACCTCTATGGATGTGGGTGATCTGACACTAAGTAAAAGCAAAACTAAAGAAGTACCATGGTCAGATCACTTCCTGGTGCAACTGGACTTCTCCGCGACCCTTCCCCTCTGCAGGGAGGTAGGACTGATTCGGATGGTCCACCCCCGCCACTTAATGGATCCAAATGGTTTCCAGAGAGTGGTAGGGGATGCTTTATCCCATGTTGATGGCCTTTCAGCAGATTCCCTGGTGGCCCGCTGGAATGTGGAGTTAACCAGGGCTATTGACTGTTTAGCTCTGAAGCGCCCTCTTCGATTGCATGGAGCCCGGACAGCCCCATGGTTTTCCATGGATCTGAGGGCAATGAAACAATTGCTGAGATGGCTAGAGCACCGGTGGCAGATAACTCATTCTGAAGCTGACCGGAAACAGGTTAGAGCTCAACACTGAGCCTACCAAGTGGTGGTAGCGATGGCGAAGAAGGCTTTCTTCACCGCCTCTATTGCAACTGCAGAAAACAGCAGCAGAGACCCTTTAAACGTGGTTCACAATTTAGAGGAACCACCTGCTACTTCGGGGCCAAGTACAGGCCACATGATCTCCTGCAATGATTTTGCAAAGTTTTTTGCAGATAAAGTCGCTCAGATTTGGGAAGAGGTAGACTCCACAGTGGGAGCAGGGCTGGGGTGGGTTGCGCGTGGCTATGGCACAAGCCAAGGCAGCGAGCAGGATCCATCCTGCTGGCTGTTTTGGCTTCCTCTTTAGCCCCGCGCAACCTCTCCTTGGGTGCAGCCTCTCCCTGCCGGAGGGTTAGGTGGGAGAGTGCTAGAGTCCTGTCTAGTCAAGTTGCGTGGGATCAATTCCAATCTGTTACCTCTGAGGATGTGGACAGGCTGCTTGGACAAGTGAAACCAACCACCTGCCTTATTGATCCTTGCCCATCCTGGCTTATAAAAGCTAGCCGGGAAGGGCTGGGCGATGGGCTTCGCGGGCTGGTGAATGCTTCTCTCTGTGAGGGAGCTTTCCCAGACCTGCTGAAAGAGGCGGTTATCAAACCACTTCTTAAAAAAACATCTTTAGACCCAGCCAATATGGCCAACTATCACCCAGTCTCAAATCTTCCATTCTTGGGCAAGGTGATTGAGAGAGTGAAGAAGCAGATCATTTGGATCCCTTCCAGTCGGGATTCAGGCCTCATCATGGGACTGCAACTGCCTTGGTCGC